TATTTTTCTGGTTAACTCAGAAACCTTAAAAATTTCTTCATTTTGCCACTGTCTTCTCTGGATAACTCCTGCTCCCTTTCCCCCTGGGCTGGGCAACTCTATGAGCACCCGCACTCCTCCACGATCATGTTCTGAATGTCCTTTTTGATGATGTTTTGACCATCATCATAGTACAACATGGACATGGGTCTCAGCTTGGTGGGCACACAGCACGATTTGAGGTTGGCAAAGGGGCTGTGGCCCCGCATGCGGTAGTGGTTGATGACTGTCGAGTGGAAGGACAGCGAGGACCCAGATGTGCCAGCTATATGGCTCGGGCACTCACCCTCGCAGTAGTTGGCATGATAGCCAGAGGGAGCAATGATCCAGTCATTCCAGCCGATGTCCTTGAAACTGACAAAGAACTGTTTCTTACAGCAGATGTTGACCTTGCCGTCACACTCTAAGCCCCGCCGACGCCGGCGATGAGGGTGGTCTTCAGACTGCCGGGCCTGCAGCATGAGGAAAGGTCTGTGCGACTGCTCCTTCTCCTCATCTGCTCCCGCCCCACCTTCACCTCCACCCTTCTTTTTCCCTTCCCCCTCCTCTTCTTTCTTCTTCTTCTTGCCCAGGAGCACCAGGCTGGCACCACTCTCCTGGCACTGCTCACAGGCAATCCGAACGTCCAGGGAGCTCTTGCCCTGGTCCAACAACCGCTGGATGCTGCTGGAGACAGGGAAGACGTGCCAGGTGCTCTTCCGAGCGTCTACCACTTTTTCAGATAGCAACAGTTCACTCCTCTCCCCCTTTAAGCCCACTTCCTCGGTCTCCTCCCCTGCGTCCAAGATGCCCTGCGGGTGCTTCTGCTGCTGGAAGAGGCGGATGGTGACTTTGGTCCTGGTTCTGTTGGCCTTGGGGACTTTTAGGAAGAGCCAGACTTCTGCACGCTCCACCACTGAAAGGTCACTGCCTTCCTTGGAAATCTCGAAGTGCAGCGTCTTCCTGGCTGTGCCTAATGATGAAAGATAGCATAAGAGAAAACAGGGACACCCATTAATTCCAACATTTACATGCACCCACAAATTTCAGACAAGCAGGAGTCTTCTGTGATAGACCATCTAGAACAGGGATCAGCAAATGATAGCCCACAAGCCGTAACTGTTTCTGTACTGCTGGCAAACGAAGAATGGTTTTTATACTTTTAAGTGGTTAAGGAAAAAGTGATACTTTGTGGCATGTGAAAATTATCTGAAATTTAAATGTTAGTGCCTGTACATAAAATTATGTTGGAGTACAGCTATGCTCATTTCTGTATATACTACCTACGGCTGCTTTTGCGCTATAAACCAGAGGTGAGTAGCTGCAACAGACTGGCTCACAAAGCCTAAACTAGTTACTCTCCAGCCCTTTGCAGAAAAAAGTTGTTGGACCCTTGCTTTAGAATGAAGAGGGCCTGAGGGTCTGTGTCTGTTGAATAATTGCTTAACCTCAGTTTCATCTTCTATAAAACGGGAATGACATAATGACATTTGACCTGTTATCTCACAGGTTTAGGAAGATACAATGAGAAAATGTAAACAAAAAGACACTGCAAGCTCTAGAAAGCTAAGGAAATATTGTTCTCGGACAAAAATGCAGCCCCTGGCCCCACCTCAGTGTGTAGGTCTGTGCGGGAGGGACACACTGAGCCAGCCTCCTCTTCCCTTGTCACAGCCTGATTCCTCCCCAGTCACCTCTTTGCTGGGTCACTGCAGCAGCATTTTCTTTACTTTGCTTCTGCTTGACTGAGGCACGCCTTCTCTCCAGTCATTTCTCCATGAAGTAGCTAAAGGAATCTTTCCCACAGGTGGATCTGATCACACCACTTTTTCTTGAAAGTCCTTTACTGACTTCCTATTGCTCTCAGTATCTAACAGAAACTGCTGGGGACTTTGGTCTGTGCGCATGCTGTTCCTACCTTGAATACCAGCTCTTGCCCTGTCCCGTTCTCTGAGGTCTAGCTACACAGTATTCCCTTGTGGCTTTGAGAACCCCACACCCCTCACCTGCAGGCAGTGACACCTGCTGTTTCTTCTGCCTTAAGTGCTCCTGCCCCCCCAAACTCCAGCATACCACCCTTAGTGCTGCCTTTAATGATGTTTCAATTTTCAGATTGTTTGGAAGACACTCTCTCTAGGAGGCTTCCCTCACATCTCCTCCACCACCATCCTCCTGCCAGCCTGGTTTAGAATGCCTAGGGTCTAAGGTCACTAGCATAGTCTAGTGTTTAGCAGAAAGTAGACAATGACTTGATTACTTATTTAACACATGGAGGAGTCCTTAGCATTGAGTTCTATTAAATTAAGAGAGCCACTTTCTACCTCTGAATCCTCCATTTTTGCCTGTGACCCATTAGACTGCAGCTTAATGAGCACCAGAATTCTATGTCAGATAGCAACCGCTGCTAATACACAGGAAATCCCCACATTGTCAGGGCAGTTGAATTTAGCAACCACTCAGTTCCAGCCTAACTCTAAAATTAGAAAGTCACCTCTTTCCTTCTCTTTTCCTAAGCACCTACATGTTTAATCATGCAGCAGCATTTACTATAAAAGCAGGTATCCAAATGAGAATTTTTTGATTCATCGGTTATTTTCCCTCACTTCCATTTTCCCCACTTGGTGGCATATAGAAACATATCCTCTTTCCCATGGCCACGGACCTCCTTACAACTGTCCGCTGTAGATATATCCCATGCACAAATCTGGGAACAATCTTTAGGAAGTTCATCTTAGAACTCGCAACTCCCTGGGAGGATCTCCCTGCCTGGATTTCTATAGTTAACGGAAATCCAGCCATACTTATCACTAGAGGCCCTGAGATGTTTACGGTACTATAAATTTTAGGCACAGTTTCAAGTTCTCTGCAGCAGAAGGCAGGCTTTTCTGTGCATTGCGTACTGTAGATTCTGTTCTTAATTTAACACACTCTGCACACTGTGATTATGATAGTGGTAAATTCACTGAGGCAAGGGCCAAGCAGGGCTGCAGATGGATATGAAAGGTTCTCTGGCATCTTTCTATAAACGTACGAGGATGCTGGCCATGGTGATGGTGGTGGTAAGGGGAGTTCCTCTGACTCCGACCTCATGTCTTTGGCAGGAATTGAAATGAATAATAAAGTTGGGTTTATCTTAGACAGAATACCAGAGCAGGGAGCAGTTAGAGGGAGAAGCGGTCTTATTTTAGGAAGCATGATGACTTATTTTTTCAAAATCTGAATTCCATATTCCCTTTTGCTAAGAATTGGTGGGGGTTTCGTTGTTGTTGTTTGTTTTTTGACAAAGTAAAAGGGAAGAAGATCCCAGAAGCAGAGCTTAATCATTTAAATCTAAAAAGGCAATCGGCAGTTGATTTTAAGGTGGCAAGGTCCTGCCAAGGCCGTAGGAGAAGGCTGAGGGAAACCTCCCAAGACTCGGATAACTGGCCTGGAGGGTGTGCAGGTTACCTCCAGCATGGGCACATCCGCCTTGCCCCGTGGAGAATGTTAACAAGCTACCCGCTGTTTTCCCTTCTGCCTCTATGCAGGACAGCTTCTGAAATCCTAAACTGCACAGGGTGTCACTCCAAAAACAGAGAGATAGTAGCTGCTAAATTAGAGAAGCCAGAGGGCACAAGGTTGGGTTTTGTTTTTCTAGGAAAGAGTGTGAAACTGGAGTGTCTGACTAGTGCCCCAGATGGGGAGGTTCACTGGGTTTTGGGTAACTCATCCCCATGGGCTCTGCTCTGCTCTCAACCACACCTGCCAGAAGGGGTCAGGGTGAAGGTTGATGGACAGCAGTGCTGACCTGCATGCAGTGGACTTTCCACGAATAACATCCAGAGCAGACTACAGATGTTCGGGTGGGGGTGCCGAGGGAGGGATACTTGGCTGACTGGAATTAGTGACAGCCGTGTGCAAATTGCTTTTGTGGGGCTAGAGAGGCTGAGGCTGCTGGCTTCCAGTCACACAGCCTACAGGACAGCCCCTCATTTCACAAGAGCAGGTTTCTGATGCATGATCTAGCCCCACCCCTTCTTCACAGGCAGCTGTACTTGGAAGCAAATGATTTAGTGTTCCTGAGAGAGGATTGTACAAAGAGAGTACTCATTAGAGGGGGCTCAATCTGTCAGGTGCTGTTATATTAGGATCAGAGAGTCGTCATAAAATGACTTTCATGCTGGTCTTGGCTGATAATTAACTGCATGGCATTGCCTGCGTATTCTGGAGGGGCACGGGCGCTGATTTATGCATCTGTTTAATTATATGAATTGAAAGACTCTGTTCCCTGTATATGCATCCACTGCCTGCGTGCTTTCTCTCTCCCCCATATTTCTGACATTTGGATTTTCCCCCTACTAATTGACATGCCTGTCGCCTCCTTCTCCTGGTGTCCATTTCTGGAACTGCTATTTGTATATTGCATGATATTTTATCAAGAAAAAAAAAAACAGATCTAATTTCATGAAAATGCTGTTGCCATAATGCTCAGGAGAACAGGGGGAAGAGAGAGATTCAAGTCTTCCTAATGTCTACCTTGTATGCAGGTACATTTTACAAGTTCTATTGTATTCTGACTTATTAAGCAGTGCATATTTCTTTCTTTTACATTAGCTTTCATTGCAGAAGGGGGTGGGGAGATGAGACTGCTGGAAACTGACATGGGATTGATGTTTATCAGGGCTACAGGCGTCAGAAATATATTACAGCCCTAGAATGTCCTAGGTATGAAAAATATAATAAAAAAGGTCAATTTATTATATTCCCTTTATCTCTATATTACCTGAGAGAGATTGCAATACTGCAGTGACACTTTCAAGATGCCCCAATCCTCCAACCTCCATGCATAGCAATTTGAAAAAGGGAAGGTTGACTAAGGCTGAGATGTTCGGGATCAATTTCTAATCAGTTTGAGCTTTCACTTAAATATCTCATGCTGTAAAATCTTGAAATGAAAGCTTTCCCATAATGTGCTGTGAGCAGTTTCTGCATTAGTTTGTACAGGTGCAACCTAGGTTCCTGCACTATTACCTAGCTAGCCAGATATAGCTGGTTGCTTTGCTAACCTTTCATTACCTGCTCTCTGATAATATTCTTTTCATCCTCTGTGCTATTTTTTCTCTCTCGAGGCTTGTGAGCAAGGCTGTACCACAGCCTGCTCTGCCTGAGTAATTCACTAAGAAAGTCCCACGCAAACCCATGTGGGTGATAATATTTCATCACTTAAACCTCTATGAGCTCCGCGGACACATACCAAAGAGAGAGAAAAAGAGGTGCAGAAAAATGGGCAGAGAGAAATTTTGTACCTCTCAGGGAATACCTTTGAAATGCTGCTGGGTGGGAAGGATTGGACAGGGGAGAGGCTGTGTTAAGCTGGAAGGAAAGATACCCGGAAGGGTGTTTGTAGCACATTTTTATTTGCTTTCAGAATTTTAAAAATGTTTTGAATAAGTCAGTCATGAAGGCATGCCAAGGGTTAAGCAGCTAAGCCCCTCGTTGTTCCCTCCCCCTACACTAGGATGCAAATGCTGGGCTCATCCAGAAGTCCAGCATCTCAGATCTGTGAGTGTATGAACATTTCCAATTAAATCAGCTACACACACATGCAGTGTTTCGATTTGGTTTTGTTTTCCTCACCAGGGTCCCGCTTAAAATATGTTGCTCTTTTACATATGGGCAATAATTATGTCTCTAATGTGAATGTGGAAAGCCTTGTTGTTTATAGAACATATTTAAACTTACCATGGGGTGGGGGGTGGGGGGTGGGGGAAGCCTCCCTGTAAAAAGCGTCTGTTCCTTTAATTTTCCATTCTTCATCAAGATTTCACTGTGCCTAGATATGGTATAGTCAATGGTAAGGGTATACACAACTACCCTCATTTACAGGGTACGTTCTCTGAAGCTCTAACTTTGCATTTGGACTGCTTCCAGGGGTTTGTGCAGAAAGCAGCAAGTGAGGTCTTAAGGTTATTCTTCCTTTGACCTATAGTAGAGGATCTTTCCTGCAGTAGAACTATAGATTTGGCCATAAATTATCTTGATTAACTTTTTTAGCTTTAATGTCCCTTCTTAGGATCCATTATTGATTTATAAATGCCAGCCACAAACATCCATCATCCATGCCTCTTCCATTAAAATGGTGATGGAAAAGGTTAAATATTTCGGGAGAAAGGGGTTTTGGTTCCTATAAGCAGCAAAAATTCTTAAGGTTCAACCCACAAAATTTCAGAGCCTTCTTCCAAAGTTCCTGAGAACTTTGGCACTTTTAATTTTGGACCTAGGAACCAGTCGAGTAGGAAGAATTCTGAACTACAGCTAGGAGATCATGTGCAAGTATTTTTTAGCAGAAGATGGGCCAAGACAAATATGTGTTTTCAAGAAAAGTGCCTGGGAAGGTATTACTGCAGTTCTTTAAATATTACAACTGACTTTCCACCCTGGCATCTCCACCACTCCCAGCCCAGTGCATCCCAACTGCACAGGCCACAGACCACTAGTAACCTCTTTTCCCATCTTTCCCCACCGTTTCTCTCCACACCCACAGTTTGGAGACAAACGCATCCTCAGAAGCTGTACACCATGTCTCCACAAGGCATTAAAGAAAGAACCACCTTTTTCCTCCCTGTTTGAAGTCACTTGTCATTTGTCACCGGTGTAAAGTGTTGATAAGACAGGAAAACTAGGCAACAAAATCAGGGGAGATGGAAGATGTTTTTGTTACGCCCCGGGTGACCGTATTAGGGAGAGACTTGTGAGCAAATCAGTATCGCTGATGATTCATGGTCACATTTCTCCCTGCTCTGTTTTGTTTGCTTTTGAAATTTATCACTCGTCTGCCTTCCATAGAGCTCCGGAATGTTCACATGTATCACTAGAATTTCCATTTCCTTTCCTTCTGTCTCATTTAATGTATTACAGGTAGTCATGCTTCTCCCACATCATAAATTCCTAACTTTTTCTGCAGGATGAGAGGGAGCAGGAGGTAACTGATAATCACCAAGATCAGGGCGCTACAGACAGGGGCTTCCAGTAGGCACAACTGCCTTTCCCTAGAGAAACTGACAAGGAGCAAAAGTCTTTGGAACGCGCCCTCTTGTGGCCGCTCTTCTCCATTTTTCACAGAAGAGAGCCTGTAACCCCTAAAGGCATCCCTAAGGGAGGGGTGATTCACAGAAAAGTAGGGAAGATGGGCATGGGATGGTGGCAGTCAGCTCCACTTAGAGATGGCTTTCTTGGGGTGGGGAAAATGGTCATCCAAGCAAGCAAGGCTTCTTCGACCCCTGTCTGGGCAGTGTCAACTTCTAACTCAAGTCTTCCATTCATCGTATCCCCCAGGGGGTAAACTTATGTGTTACACTCAATGACACCTAGGCTATGTGAGCACATCCATTTCTTGGTGTTTCATGTGTTTTTTATTCCCCCTATTCTTTCTACAACAAGTGCTATCAATTGCTAAGCTAATTATCAGAACCCACGTACAGGTTTGACAGCATATGGAGACTCAGAGATACATTATTATTATGTGTTGATGACCAGCTACTGTCATGAGTCAACATAAAATGAAAATAAGCTGTATCAGCTAAGAAGGCCACTGAATTTAGTCATTGACATTTATAGTGATAGGTGGCCTGGCTTTACTCATTCCTTCTATCTTTCCTTGTGAAGGCCTCTGTAGTCCTTAAGGTAAACACTGATGGGTTTATACCAGCTGTGCAAAGAACACACTAGCCTTGGTGAGCAATCTTGGTCGATGTGACATACATAAAAAGAAAATCATTTTTGTTTGTTGGGATACATTTCAGAGAGCCTTAGAGTGATTCCCCGCCGTTTAGTCAATAACAACTTGCATCAGCTTTACAAAAATTGGGCACTTTTTACCTAAGCAGGATGGGACAAACTCAATTAAAAGAGTCCCGACCACCTGAGCTTTTGCAGGCTCTCTACTTCCCTGGCCATGCCCTGGCTTTATCCAACAATCAAGGAGAGAAAAGGCCAAAATTAAACGTAGCCTCGAATTGAAGAAAGTTGGGGTTGAAAGAGGCCGCTGTGGGTCTGCATCTGTAGCATGCTCATGGGTGACAATGTCTGGATTCTTTGCTGCATAAAATGGTTTAAAGGGAAAGAAAAATACATGCTTTTTTCTATTCTCCAAAAACTCTTGACATTCCACATAGTTGGAATGTTATTAAAGTTGAATTATTCCAAAAGCAACAAGGCATAGGTCTTCGCTATTCGTGCTCATATATTCACTAAGTCATTCGGATGACAAATATCTTTTCCTGGATTAGCAAAATCGGCAGCTGAATGCTCACATGGTTTTCTTCTTGAAGAGTAGCCTGTCCACATATCAGTCATTAAATCTGTGAAATTATATTAAATCAACTTGAAGTTGATGTGTGAAATCGCTCAGAGAAAAATAATCAATTGTAATAAATGTTTTCTAAGAATCAAAAGTCAAGTTGTAAAATCAACAAGGTTTTTCCCACTACAAATCTTAAACTTGACTCAATGTGAATGTCCAATGAGTCGCTTTTTAAAAAGTCACTCATTTTCTTTCAAACTAAACACCTAACAGAGAAGTACAAAATGACAAGATGTTATACAACTGAGAGAAGACTGGCACTGAAAGGAAGACCATAGATAAGAAAGAATGTAAATGGTCAAATTTTTTCACTGCCAAATCTCTAAATGCTAAGAGAGTGATTTGCTTTACAAATCCAGTAAGTCAGAAAGAGGGGCATACTGATAGTAATAGTTGTACGGGTAAAATGGTCAAAGGCATAGATATACTTAGTTACATGACATGGTTAAAGCCAACTGGTTAGGAGCTGCCATATATAAAGACACGAAGTAACCCTCTACACCCCTGAAATCTGTTTCACACATGCAGCCAAGTATCATAAATATTTTCTTTTTTAAATCTTATCCCACCACAAAAAATTGAGAAAAAATGGCTGTCAACTTGAAAAGTTCTACCCTAGCTTTCTTCCTCAAAAAGCTTCAGAAGATAGAGTCCTAATGATCATGCCTTTTGGGGCTGGATTAAGAAACAGCTTTAGGGAAAGAAAGTAGACCTTCCCTAAGTGAGGGAGGCTGCTGGTGAGAGAGCCGAACTGGGCAGCTTGTGGGATACCAGGGCTTCTCCTGCAAGGGGAACCCATGCTGCCAACAGGCTATCTGCACCCCCAGAAAGATGCCCAGGTCTTTCATGGTTTTCTTGAAAACAGAACATCTGAGTCAACAGGTTTTCAGGATTGGAAATTCTGAGTGTTGCCTTAATTGTTTATACTGCTGCGGCAAACTTTTAAACAAAAATGCTGGGAGTCCCTGCACATACTTTACTGGCCATATGCTCTACCAAACAAAACAATGGCATTCCTTTCAAATGGAGTTGGCAAAGGATGCAATTCTTTAGCCTGGCATTACCATGAAAGTAACACAGTATTAACACATCTGTGTGCCTGACGGGCATGGGCTTGCAGGCATGCAGAGGGATCTATGTCACTTCACTATAAAAATAGCCTGGCTCCAAGTCTATGGACCCATA